TAATTATTTATCAAAAGGAGGTTCTGACTAATTCTTTCCTAACCATCCAGGCTGATAAGTGGAAGGCATGTTAATGTGCAGGAGAGGGTGGGGGCCCAGTGAAGAGAGAAAATTGGGAGAGGGAGATGGAAGAGAGCACTCGCCTCTCAACAGCCCCAGGAGCCTGATAAGAGCTCACACGGATAAAATATTTATTTTCCATATGTTGCAGAAAGCACTGCCATCACTGTATGTGTGCAATATGTGCAAAGAAGTATGAAATATATACATCAAATGCCACCGATCTGGTTAATTTCCACGCGTTTAACATGCCTAATACCTACCATCTCATCAATATGTTTCAATGCATATTTCTTTCCACACGCAATATGTCTAGTAAGGAAAGAGCCAGCATCATCCACAACCTTACTCATTGCTATGTTTCAGCCCAAAGCTTGTTGCCAGGGCCGGCACAATGAGAGTTAAAAACCAGCCACCAGTCACCTTAAAATGCCTTTCCAGTTCTTGAAGCAGCCCTTTTTCTCGTAAGAGAAATGTATGCAGTGGGGAGATGAAAATGTTTTTGTTCTCTTTGGACAATTGGGAGATATTCAGTGAGAATGTCAGAACTGACCGTTGAAAGGCAGGTGCCTCCAGCCACACTTTTTTTCTTTTTTTTTTTTTGAATGCAGAACTCCACCAGTGTGGCGGGAGGAAGTGCACAATGATTGGTCTGTTTCCCTGTGGAAGTGTTCAGGGTACACCCAGTTTTGCTTTGCATATATTTACGAAACATCTGCCCTTTTCTTGTTCTTAAATCCTTCCCCCTCACCATCCCCCTTTCCCCTTTCTCCCGGTTTCTTTCTTTGTTGTTGTTGGCTTGTCTAACTTTTTCATTGGAGCTTTCATTTTCCGGTTGAGGGGCGACTTCATCAGAGTGTATAATTTTAACATTGAGGGAGGGAGGGAGGGAGGGAGAGAGGGAAGAGAGAGAGAGGGAGAGAGAGAGAGAGAATGAGAACTGAAAAGAAAGAAAGAGGCTGAGCAGCCAGAGCTTGGCAAACCAACCTTTGGCATGGTGACTGGGAAGAAGGTTCTGGTCTGGTAGGGAGTTTGCCTCTCTGACATGCTGCCCCAAGTCTCCTGTGTGCTGCTGCCCTCTAAAGGCTCCAAGGAATAATGCAGAGCCACAGAGGCTTGGACAGAGTTACCCTCAGATGTGCCATGTTTATATAATTCTTTTTACACAACCAAAGAAGGTATTTTCGATTAATTACTACAGGACTTGCTCTTTCCTCCTTAATAAACTATGAACTGAAAAAACGGGGTCAAAATAACAGCACCTGTGCCTGTCTAGACACAGCCTGCTGCTACGTTTCAGTGTCTCTCAGCTCCAGGGAAAGGAGTCCAACAGAACTATTAGAGAGGGTGAGGAGGGAAATGAGTTGCTTCTAAGGACAGTGAGTGGCTCTCTGTTATCTGTGAAGTTGGAAAAAGCCCAGTGGTATAAGGATAAGCAAATGAGGGAGTGAACCAAAAGGTTGAATTTTCAATATTTTCATTTGTAGAGGTGGCTTTCAATGCCCCTGTACTATGAATGTTCTCTGAGCGTGATCCTTGAGACAACAAACAAGAGGGTGTGGTGCAAAATGTCAGGTAGGAAGCAGGATCAAATCTAGGGAAGGAAGCAAGGGCATTTATATGAAGTACAATACCATTTTTGCAGCATTAAAAATGAGTGACGTTGGTTGTGTGGTCATGTACACATGTTTGAAAGAGGGCTTTCTCAACTGCCTGAAACACACATCCAAAACTAGCATAGGCTTTGTCTATAAGCATTAGAAATAAATATTTTTTCTGTGCAGCGATATCTGTCATTAGTATTTCATCCTGATATTTAAATGACTCAGGAAGACCAAGCTCGCCTCGGGGAGCGAAATTGTCCTCTTCTTATCGAATGCCCTTCATGGATTCAAAGGAAAAGCAGCCAGTCAATGTAGATTTCACTGCTGCATAAAGTGTAGGAAACTTAATTGGGATTTAGACGAGGACTATTCTCAAAGTATAGCTACATCTCAATTCCGCTTCACTCCATCAACAAACAAATACTGAATGACAGCTTTGCCTAAGCTACTCTGATGAACAGTACACACTAGAGAGCAAACTCTGGGAAGGTTTGCTATGCAGGCACACCATAGGCACGTGATATTTATAAGATGACTATGTGAATAGAGGAATAGTGGGAGGGGAGGAAGAAGGAAGGAAAGGATGAACACAGAGGATTTAAAAATCACTAAGACATTTCCCTCAGAGAGTTTACAGTCTCATAGGAGTGATGACCACATAAATAATTATCATTGAAACAAAAATTTAGTGAGTAAAATAGGGAAAAGTAAGAAATTTTTGGAATTTCAGAAAAAGGTGGGAGGGAGTTGAATCTCAAAGAGAGAGAGAGAGAGATTCTATCTGGTAGAGTGGGGAATCAAGACAGTTAAAAGATAAATACAATTTCAACAGAGTTGAAGGGAAATAACTTGAAGAAAGATGTAGAGCCAAGGATGTTCAGATTCCCAAAGATATTCTACAAATATTCAAAAAATTTGAAAGTCCTGGGCACCCAGGTGACTCAGTAGGTTAAGTGACCAACTCTTGATTTCAGCTCAGGTCATAATCGCACGGTTCATGAGATTGAGCCCCGCATCGGGCTCTGTACTGACAGTGTGGAGCCTGCTTAGGGTTCTCTCCCTCCTCTCTCTCTCTGCCCTTCCCCCTGCTCCTGCACACACACTCTCCCACTCTCTAAATAAATAAATAAACAGAAAAGAAAAGAAAAGAAAAGAAAAGAAAAGAAAAGAAAAGAAAAGAAAAGAAAAGAAAGGAAAAGAAAGGAAAAGAAAAAGGAGAAAAAAGAAAAGAAAAGAAAAAAGAAAAGAAAAGAAAAGAAAAGAAAAGAAAAGAAAAGAAAAGAAAAGAAAAGAAAAAAGAAAAGAAAAGAAAAGAAACTTGAAAGTCCTGTATGGCCAACATGTAGGACATGTGAGCTAAACTAGAGCATGTATAGAACTCATTTGGGGTGTCAGGCTAACCTGGTTATCTCAGAGGGGTCAAAGAGGATGGAGAGACAATAAAAATTAACAGCAGTGTAAATAAAAGTGTTACGATGATAGCGGTGGAAATGGAAAGGAAACGTGGATGCGAAAAATATGAAGGAAGCAGTATTCTCAGGTATTGATGAATTGGCTTTAAGGCAGAGGAAGGTGTTTTTAACCTAAGGTTTCTAACCTGATGACAAACCTGGTGACAGACAACACTGATGGAAATGGGACCTTAGAGGAGGCGCTAGCTTTCGATGATTAAAAAAAGGTGAGACTTTGATCTTGGATATTTTCTTAAACTGAACCCCAGAAAGTAGTCCTTGGATGTGCATGTAGACACTCAAGTCTTGGGGATTGATTCCATAGTCACCCATCCAAGAAACAGTTGGTAAAGCATTGCAATTTGTTGCTTCTCTTATTGGCTTCCTCCATACTGAAAAATATGTCTGAAAACTTCCCCTGTCTTTTCATCTTTACCATGCCATCTCTGCCTCCTGCCCTCTGAAAAAGCAGATTTGATTTCACAACCTGTTGGACGAGAAACACAGCATGCTAATCATAACACCATATTCTGCGAGGGCAGATTTTAACTACCCGGTACAACAAATTTCGATACAAAATATTCTGTATGACAAGTCCATTGCCAGGCTTATAGAAACAAGAAAGACATGGAAGCAAAGCTACTTACAACAAATTCTGTTGCACACATAATCTTGAACCGAAAAATTAAATCAAATAATTTCTCTGGTCACCAATCAAATAATGATAGAAAAAAGGCACGGAGCCATGGAAATTGGAGGGCATGTTCAGGGTATGACTAATAATCCAGAGTGCCTAGGGCCTAGGGCACCTGCAGTATAAGCTAAGTATTTCTGTGTTTATATCAGTTTCATCATCCTGGGGAGAGGACACCAGAGCCAACCACACTACCTGAGGTCTTTTACTTCCTTTTCCTGACCCCAAATCGCAATTAGCAACAATTACTTTCTAATTCCCTTCACCCATCTCTTCTTCGCGCCCCAAATTCACAGTCGCACTCCCACACTCCACGGTCATGATGTACCAAATCAACAAACAAAGGGAATGTTAAGCTTTGGATGAGCAAAGAGTTGGAAGAGAGGATCTCCATGTGACACATTACCGCTTTACCTGCTAGCAGCTAAGCTCATCTTTTCACTTTTCATTTGCTACTTTAACAAAAACCTCCATCACTACCCTTTCATCTCTACAGCCTGCAAATTTAGATTGTGATTTGAAATTATGTGTTCATCTGAAGTAAACCTAATAACAGCAAGAAAGTTGAATGTTCCTTAATGTATTCCGTGAATAGAAACTTGAAGCTGGAAGGAACATTTAAGGCCTTCTAATCCAAGCCCTTTATTTTACAGATGAGGAAACTGAAGCCCAGAGAGGTGAAGTGAGGTGCCCAAGGCCACACAGCAAGTTAGAGGCACAGCTAGTACCATAGCTCAAGTCTCCTGACTCCCAGTCCAGTGCTCCTCCCATTACTCCACGGGTCCTGTCTCTAAGCTTCCTGACAAATGCTAGAACGGTAAACCTCCACTAGTATTTTTCCAGACCATGTTAAAACTCTTAAGGGGGAAAAAAGGATGCTTTCTTGGATAATGTCAGCCATACGTAGCTCAATCTGTCTAAAGTTCTGGGACAGGGTCTTTTTATGCAGCCAACAGAGTCCAAATGTGGTGCTGTTTGCTTGGCCCATATGCTTTCATGTGTTCCCAGTTAGGCCATTACTGGAGGGAAAAAAACAAGAATCAGCTTGTTTTAAAACAAGGGACATACTGGACTCCCTCCCATCCCCCCTCAGAAAAAAAAAATCAAGTTATCTTTAACAGATTCTAAAAATGCCTTTTCCCAAATATGCAGTCAGTTCCTTCAAAGGGCCCTTTGTTTATTTTCAGGAAGAAACCCAAGACAGCTGAAAACCAGAAGGCATCTGAGGAGAATGAGATTACTCAGCCGGGTGGATCCAACGCCAAGCCGGGCCTTCCCTGCCTGAACTTTGAAGCTGTTTTGTCTCCAGACCCAGCCCTCATCCACTCAACACATTCACTGACAAACTCTCACGCTCACACCGGGTCATCTGATTGTGAGTACACCAGTAAGGTGATGGTGTCTTCGCAGCGCTTGGAGCATGCTTCTCCCCTGGGTTCTGGCTTTTTTGTTTTTGCGTTCAGAACAAGCTGTTTCCTTCTGGTCTTCTAGAGTAGTCGAAAGTAACCTGCCTCCATTTTGATTCAGCCAACATCTATATTTTCAAAGCTACAGTGTATTTTAAAACCAGGTGTCCAGCCATTTGGACTCAAAAGGCTGATTAATTACATGAACCACATTTTCTTTCATAGCATCCACTCAAAAAAAAAAAAAAAAAAAAAAAAAAAAAAAAAAAAAAAAAGGAAGAAGAAGAAGTTGTGTTACTGTTTTCTAATTATTCTTTTGTCCCCGCGATCTGAATAATGGCACTTCCACCATGACTAAATTGAACCACCAAATATGGACCTCAAAAAGCCAGTTAGACACAGGAAACATCCATTTTGAAATTACATAATACAAGTCAGCTTTGCATTAGTTATTGGAGTCTCATTTGGCTTGGCTGAATTTCCGTCTTTCCAGTTTTTAATTTATTTTGAAGTGGTTAAAGGATAGCATAAATTTACAGAAGAAAAGAGAATGGCTTCCAAGAATTCAGAATCCACCCAGACTTCACGTAGCCAATAAGCATTCAGGTTAAAAATATTTTTTAATTAAAAAAACTGCCTACGGGCTAAATTTGGAAATGGGCAGCTTAATGAGATCGTCGCTATTGAAATCACTCCATTGCTGTTTATTTTTGCTGTCTTCCCACTAATCTGAGAGTCACTTCTTCAAATTCTATTTTAAGAAAGTTGATAAATCACGTTTAGGAGCTTTTCTCTTTCTGAAGTGTAACCCAGTACTTCAAAGAGAAAGGAACATGTGTGTTGACAATGGAAAGGAATGGAATAACTTTGGGGTCCAGGCTGAAGGAATATTCCTTTCGGTCTTGAGATACCCAACAAGTATTCTGAACTGATCTCCATAAAGGATGTCTAGTAACAGGCAGAGAGCTGGTGTGCTCTTTTTTAGAAGGAGGAAGATAAGACCAAGAAAGTTTCATTTTCAAAAAAGGACTCCAGTTATGCCATTCACGAACATAAACATTATTAATTAGGAAATGAGAGTCTAAATCTCCTATTGTTATTTTCCTGACTCCACAAAGTGGGCGCGAAGCGGATGAGTCTGGGAGATCCCACTCCTTACTCGTTTCATCGTAAGAGCGTCTAGGTATAGGGACAAAATGCAGGGATCGAGTTTGGGGTGAAAGGAGCTTGTTCCACTCGTGGCTGGGCTGAGACCCTTCTGTCACTAGAAAATGAAACGAGAAAGAATGAGATCCAAATCTCTACAGCCCGTGTGGCTTGTACAAAGTTGCTGCCTCTATAGAGAAATCTGGGGGTCAGAAGCAAGGACTGTGTTCTGTGGACCATTGTAATAGTGACATCCTTGGCCCTTCTTGCCTGGCAGTCTCCAGCCTAATAGTAATTACAGGAAGAGTTGGAAAATAGTGTGGCACAGTGCCCATAGACATGTGCACACTGTCCCTACCTACCAGGAAGGTAGCCTGTTCCTGTGGAGAAGGGCCTGGAGCTCCTGCACGCAGACCTTCATCGCCTGGCTTTCTGCCACACCTTATGGGGAAGATTGCATAGAACCGCCTTAGCCCAGACATCCCCTGTTACAGCAAAATGAACGTTTTGCTGAATAGAGAAGGCACGGGGCTTCAGTTATTGTACTTTACCGTAAGCATCCCCTGGCCAGGCCTTGGCACCAGCGTGGATTATGTACAAGACACTGTACGAGCCTCCTGCTGCCACACAGCTCCTCGGTGACCCTGCGGGAGCCAGTAGATCTGAGCTCACAGCGAGGTGTCTGAATGCAGTTGGAAGGAGAACAAATAGGGAGGAGAAACCTAATCTCCAGCTGCTTAGAAAGTCATTCTGATTTTGCCATTAAGATGTGTAAGTCTTCTCTTCTCTAACCTGTTGTTTCAATCGATTATACTTTTCTACAAATATATTTGGATTGTAGTGTGTCCTGATTTGAGCCTACCCTTAGAAGAAAATTGTTTTTAGGAAAGATTCACAGAAATCTGTCCATTTGGAGATTGCTTGAGAGAAGACAGGAAAGAGGTTTATTTTAAGCTGTTAAATTTTTTGGATGCTCTTCTTGCATTCAAGAAGATTTTATTTTATTTTATTTTATTTTTTTACTTTCAAATGTCATTCTTACCACAGATTAATTTAAAAGCCTAATTTCTTTAAGGTAAAATATTCAGCTCCTATTTAGAACTAACAGATTTGGGGCATTTAAAAATAGTGCCCTGGACTTGTTAGTCTCTTTAACTTCAGAAACATTCCACTAGTGTGTGGTGTTCCAAGCTTTCACAAGTGCCTGAATTTTTATAGCACCTTTTTATTTGTTATGTGTTTAGCAGAAGTATTCTTAGCCATGCCTTAATGCCCATTTCCCGTCAGTCATTCTAATTCTTCCCAATTTATGGATGAGAAAACTGAGAAAATTGGCACGTCTATAGATGAATGACTTACTCAGTCGTTAACTCATTTGGATACTGAGGGATGTTTATGGATTTGCTCTTACTGTGGGCAGCCTGAATTCTCTGTTCCAAGCCTATAAATGGCATTCTTGAAAATGTGCAACTACTCATATCGGTGACCGAGTTCTAAAACACAGGGGATCAGCATCCCCACAGAAGAAGGGTCCTCTCAGCATATGAACCATAAGGGTGGGTCAGACGTAGTGTTGCTGCATCTGAAGGACACAGGCCAGTGTTTTAGACATGTCTGACCCATGAAATTCTCAGTTGTCTATTTAACCTGCCGAGACACTTCAAATTTTGCAAAAGATCCCTGTAATATCCAAAACAAGAAGGAACATGGTGGAGAGAGGTTTTCCTTTGTGAGATGATGAGGTTATTATTGCTACTGGAATGTGTGTTACTTTGCAGTGCACCCACTGACAATGGCCTCTTAGCAGGATTCCCCCATGCCTTCCTAGCCTGTCACCCCCTCACCATTTCTAAAAATCCAATGGTAAATGGACTCAGATGATGATAATAATAACAGAAGGCATTAAGAGGAGTTTTGGAATGCAAAGGGTAGAAAAGCCCGAGGTATTTGACAGAACTGGCTGAGCTCAGGCTGTCTCTTCAAATGCATAAACAGGTCTAAACCAAGTTGGGGGCGAGGGGGGGGCAGACGACACTCTCCCTGTCTTGACAACTATCAAGCTGTAGTGCGTCACAGTCCTATACATGTGACAGACTCCACCAGAACGTTTACTTGCGTGCTGCCTCCAGTTTGCTTTCCCCCAAACAAGGCTTCCAATGAAGAGACAAGTGATTCTATCCCCCACTCCTTTGGCAATCCTCCCTACTTTTGGCTGTAGATCCACCTATTCTGATGTCTTTGTTTTGTTGGAAGCTGACATCCCTGGTTACTTACCTTCTAGTGTTTTGCACCGGCCTCATCAGGCTGTCTCATTTCTTGTGTCCTTGCCAAGATGCACTTATGCATTAACAGTTTTTATTTATTTTTAATTTAACCTTTACACATTACCAAACTGTTGTGTGGGTGGGTTTAACTTTAGCTCTGTAGGTAGCATGACTCTGCTGGGGCTGAGCACCGTGGAGGAGCCTGCCCGGCCCCTCCTTTCCCTCTCTGGCCTTCTACCTTCATTGGTCTTCCCCCTCCCAATCTTCCGCTCCCCCCCCACCTCCCCCCCCCCCACCGCCACCACTCCCCTTCCAAGTCCCCAAGATTAAAATTTTTAGTACACTTGGTTCAGTTTGAACTTTTAAGCAATTTTTAGGGAACAAAACAAAGAGGATTTTTTATGGCAAACTCCATTAATGCCACATTAAGGCTGACATTTTAATTACCCCAAAGTCAGGAAATGCAAAGTTCAGGTTCCCACAGCAACAGCAACTGTCCCCTTGAGTGCAGGCAGCACAGCAGACTCTTTGATTCCCTGATTACACAACACCAGGCGCGGGAACATTGTTTCTTATCCACATATGTGGAAAGGAACATGGTTTTTACCCTTTGTTTTTCTTCTGTAACTACAGTTGAGGCTATGGGTCTTTAGCTTCTCTCCCCAAACCATCTATATGTATTATCCTGGAACGGAAGGCTGTTATGGCCCTACATGTGCACACGGACAGAATTAAAGTTGCTGTGGGAACATTAACTCTGATTTCCGGACTTCCGTGCCAGTCACATTTAAACCATAATGTTGTAATTTTTGGCATGTAATAAATGTGCATTTCATGTACACAGACAGAAAGAAGCATAAAATGTATTTTAAAGAGCAATTAATTACTAACTTTGTGATTAAAAAACATTTGGTGCATGTTCCTTCCCATTTAGCATCAGCTGCTGGTCTTAGCCAGGCCTAATAGATGACATACTGTGTCTCATCCTGGATCTCAGATGTACTTACTGTATGTTCCTGTTCTTCTAGATAATTAATTCCCTTAGTAAAGCTGTAGGGGGAAAACAAAATGGAAGGAATATGCAAGCATGTAAATAGGGTAAAGGATATTTTGAAGGAAATGATTCATTTCTGCAAATAAACCTCTTAGTCCCTGATAGAGAGCCAGAAATCTGCTAAGTGGGTGTAGACAAAGGTTTCTGGCCACCTTAGAGCATCTGGTCCAGGGCTATAAGAACAACTTGGAAGCAGATTGCCCCCCTGAATCCCGGGCATGCCCAATGGGAGAGTGATTTTACTCTGTAATAACTTTTCAGGCTTAAGGATTAAAAAGTCATTTTACTCTGGATCAACTTTTCAGCTTCTGCTCAAACTAGAAAAGTTGTAGGGAACCAGCTAAAATATGGGCTTTGCTGATGAGCCCGGTTGAGAGAGTAGTATTTTCTCTTCCTATTTGAATCCGGTTGACCCATTTGCATTGGGGAAGGAAGTGTTTCAAAATAAATGTTTGAACAAGTTTGTGAGTGAAAGGGATCAGTAGCAATACCCTAAGGTACAGTG